ACCAAATATCAATCAAAACCATACCTTTCATACTTTCCAGCTTGAGTTTATTTAAGATAAACAAACATTTTTGGTTTATTTGTTAATCTGCTTCAGGATTTAATGCTAATGCTAAACTTGAAGCAGGTTTATAAATAAACTCATGTTGGAAAAGTATGAAAAGTGTAGTTTTGATGTTAGTTGTTCCAGCATTTGTATTTTGAATCAAATATTGATTTTATCATATGTTTGCTTTTTACAGCAAATGAGAGTTGAACAGTTAATTATTATTAATATTAAAATCCCTTTCTGTTTAGTTCTTTTTAAATGTTAATTTAACATTTACTATCATTATTATGGTGTGGGTGGTATGTATCCTACACATGCATAATGGTATGCTGGACCAAGGTCGATGAATAGCTAAAATATTATTTTGGTTAGGGGATAATCATTTATGTATCTACATTTAAGAATTTCCTGACTATGTAACATATTTAGTATAGCTGCTTTCTGTAATATGATACATAAAGGCTGTTGTGAAGCCCTGATGCTTTTAGACTTTTGCATAGTGTATGTGATATAACACCTGTGCAAGAAAGGACTACTAGTTTAATACCATAAAAATGTTTTTATCTATTCATAGATCTTCCTCAGTTAGGACTAATGAATTGAATACAGAAATAGACATTAAAAATGAACAAAATACAAATTTATAAATTTGGCAGTTCTAAACATAAATGAATATAATATAAAATTAAAGGCAATAAAACTCAATGATTAAAATTTTTAAAAGAAACAAAACATAAATAAATTAATAAAAATAACTAATATAAGTGTCAAAGTTCATGGTTCAAAAATGCATTTCCATGCCATAGAAAGACTGTCCACTCCTCTAAAATTAAAACAAGTTTGTTTTTTTTGTGAGATTTAAATATTTCTATCATTTCCTGGGTTTGTTTTATGTACAGGCTTTTGAGGTATTATATTTGCTATTTGGTTATTATGTTGTAAATAGTTGTTCAGGTTTCTATTGGGTCAGATTATTGCTACATCTTCCCATGCAACTCTTATGTTTTACTCCCTGGCATAGTTGGCTAAGACTGTGCTTTTCATGTTCTTATTAATTGTATATATACGTTCCTTGAATCTTGCTTTCAAGCTCCTTGCTGCAACTCTCACATATGTAAGTTTACATTGAAATCGTTGATCTTCCAAGGGATGGAGTATACTCCTGGCATGATGGAATGGTTTTCTTTCTGTTTCAAGACTTTGTTCGTTATCTGAATTGTTCATTAACCGATTATCGATTTATCATAGGTTTTCATGGAAATTTGATTAATTTGTTCTGGAGACTCCAAAAAATATGTATACTTTTTTATTTTTTGAATATTTTATTTTTATATTTTTTATTTATTACGTTTATTTATATGCAATAGTAAAAATACATATATATGCTGTCTTGCATTTTTATTAGTCATGTTTTTTCTCTTTGTGGGGATTAAAGAATCTGTCAATGTCTATTGCTTTTCTCTGTTCTTCAAGATTTTTCAGAAGTAATTAATAGCATTGTAATTGTAGATATCCATAAGCCTATTAACCTCAACCTGGTTTGGATGCCATTCTAAGACCGTTGTTCTGACATCATCCCACTTCTTCAAAAAAATGTTTAATAGTAGATATCGACATTAATTCTCTTTTTCAGAAGAAAACATATCTTGCCGAGTTTCTTGGTGTTCTTCATTCAAGAGTTCTTAGCATTCTTTTGTCATAAGATCAGTTTCATGTTCCATTATGAGCTCTTCAATGTTCTTTATTTCTCAGATGTGATTTTTGTTACTCTTTAAGCTGCTTAAGTCTTCTTGATAATATAGTATCTTTCTTAGATAAGATTGAACAGGGCCATGCGGTAGATTTTCTCAGTATGATGCAAGTCTTCGAAATGCTGCTTCTTAAATGCCACTTATGCTGCCCCATTACGGTGCCGCCTGATGCAACCGCATCTCTGCACCATAGCACGACACGGACCTGAGATTGAACTGCAGCCTACTGTAGACCTGTTCAAGCCATACTGCCCAGCAACAACAGACATCAGACATCTGCCCACTCTCTACCTGTGATATCATACTCTCACCTTTCGAAAATAAAAACCGATGCAAAACTTAACGAGTGCCCGCCCGACAGTCTCGCGAATACTATAAATGAATTGTTTCTGTCAGAAAAATAAAAGGCTGGAATTACAAGGGAGAGTTTTAAAGTTTGGAGGAATACTATCTGATCAGTATATACTGGGTTGGGCGTCAACGTCGACGTCTCCCACGCTCCAAAAAGTTTTGAATTGTTGTCTGAAGACAAGGGAAGACCAATCAATATGCATTATTTTATGTCGCTTCTTCTTGTGTTTGTTCTGTGAGGTGTTCATTATCTGATCATGTGTTCATTGTCGAACATAAAAATCTTTCGCGAAAGTGTTCGTTATCTGATTTGTACGTTAACCGATCACCCACTGTATGTTCTTTTAATTAGAGATCTGAATGCTGAGAGTTTAATGTAGAAAGGGTCAGGTAAGTTGTATGGAATAAAGAATTCCAGCATCTCATTCTAATCTATGCCCAGTCTGTGGACAACATTTTCATCTTATGATGCAAGAAACCTGACTTAAAACTCCTATTGTACAGATTCAAAAATAACCTGTAAAGGTTATTTTTGAATCTGTATATGTATAAAAATAACCTGTAAAGGTTATTTTTGAATCTTCAACAAAGAAAGTGCCACTTCCATTCATTTTCTGGACATCTCTATCAATCTTAAAGGTGGTAGCATACACACCAACATATACTAGAAACCCATGTACTGTACCAGCCAATCTTTATCCCATATAACTCACTGTATGTATTTGTATGTTGTGAGTGTTTGGAACAGCTATGTCTATGATGTATGTGATTTTATTATGCCTGTCATTATAGCTCAGTCATAGTATTTTTTTGTGTGTGTTCTTTTCTACAATCATATGATGTGTGTATTTGTAAAATTGTTCCTCGATTTGTGTTTGTGTGCAGGCTTTTGAGATATTATATTTGTTATTTGGTTATTTTGATGTATATAGTCAATTTGTGTTAAAAGCTTCAAATCTGGATGGTAGTATCAGATGACTAGGTGATGGCCTCAGATGGAATTTTTCCTAATAAATCCTTCCTAACACATTCACTGCCCTTGTAAGAAGCAATGTACCTGGCTCTATGACAAAAAATTTTTTTGATTCACTTAACACAAGATGTGTTACAATTTCAACACTTGGTGATATTCCATCTTTATTTAGTTGATTCCTTTTGGTGATCTTTTTTGGCCTCCTTTTGGTGATTTTGTGTTAAGTGAATCAAAGAAATTAGAAAACATGGTTTCAGAAGATTAAAAAAAATTTTTTTTTATTTTGTTTACTTACTATATTGTATGTTAAAAACATCAAAAAATTTACCAGTATATAAAATATAATGTAGTATTAAAAATGTGCAATAAATAATAAAATAAAACAAATAATCAATTTTTAAAGCAAGATACACAGCAAACTTTTATGATGCTCACGAGCAAGGTTGGAACATGCAATGTTGTAGTGTAAACTGCTCCAAGTATAGTGTTGGCAGTGAATATGTTAAAAGTTTATCGCATGAATATCAGTTGAATATTTATCGCACATACAAAAACATGAGGCTGCAAAGATGCAATAAGCTGTAAATTGTAAAGACACAATATTGCAAGATTTTATTCTCAATATTAATTTCATGTACAGTACAATGGAATGCCATTTGCAAAGTTTGCCTCAATTTATTATTGTTTTATCATCTCACACTGAAAAAAAGCTGCAACCAAATATAATGTGTTGTATAGTTTTGTACATGATAAACCATTTTCTGCAAGTGAATAAGTGTTTTCATTAAAATTTCTCATTTATGCTCATTATTGATGTTTTATGGGTTTATTTAAGCATAAATTTGTTATATTCTGTCAATGTTTTTCTTTGTATTCATGTTTTTCTTTGGAGTTCTTCTAGTTCCAGTACATTTGTTTTTTTTTAGTGTTCAAAAACAATTTAAATATAGCATTTTATAAGTCATAATAAAATGTTTACAGCATATCAGTCATAAAAGTTAGGAATACAAAAGCAAGAGTCTATTGTAATTTCATAAAAAAATATAACACAAAACATTTATAATTAATCATTATGTTTCAACAGAATCTATCTAAATCATTTAAAAAATAATATATATAAAAATATGATCTCTAGATGTAAATATAATCATACTGTAACTTGTAAGCTAACTACTAAACAAATATAAAATATACAAGTCAATTTACATATAAGAATATTAAATGTATATTTAAGAATCCAAATCATTCTTTGAATTTATAACTATTTATTTGCTTAAAGTTTGTAATTATTAGTAAAGAATTTTAAATAATAATCAATAATTTGTTACTAGAAATACATAAATATTCATTTTTTTTAATATTTTATGTACAAAATTTAAAAATCAAAATTTTATCTGCTTAAATTAATAATAAATAAGTTAAGTTTACTGTTTGTAGTTTTAAAATCTGTAATATGAGTTTAGCTAGGTATTAAGTTTGATATATTCTATAAAATTTTTGATTACATTATCATATTTCTGATTATTACTATTATTATTTTTCAGTAAACTGACAATTCTTTACTAATTATACTTGATTTCTATATATGAGAGATTTCAGGTAAATTAATTTATAAAATTATTATTAAAACTTTATGAGAAAAATCTCTTACATTTTAATTTCTACTTTACATTATCCTGTTAAAATTCTTTATAGGATTGATTCCAAATAAAAGATATTAAATCTAAAATTCTTATTTTTTTTTTTTAGTAAAATTAAATATGTAATTTAAATTTAATCTAAAAATTCTTACCTGATATTTTTTCTAAGTTAAAAACTTAAATTTTATCATATATGAAAAATTATTTTCCATTAAGATAAATTAATGTTTTAGTTACCAATTTATTAAAATCAGTCATAGTTATTCCCAAAATTTTGGCCAATTCAGATGGAGGAAATAGTATCAATAAACATTTATTTAAATATGGTAACAATTCATTTGCAAACTGAACACAAAACTGTGAGAAAATTTCTTCTTCAGATTTGGTGAATGCTGTCTGTTCTGCCCTGAAAATAAAAATATTTTTTAATGAATACATTGATTATATCTAGCTAATAAGTTATATACAAATACTCCTTTATCAATGCAACAAATCTCAAATCCTAAGTTATATTTGCATAAATTTTCAATTATAAACTTCAAATTCAGATTGTTTCTGATTTCTTTAAATTAAATATATGATAAATATGTTTTTACTCAATCATATATTTATTAATAAATTAATTTCAATGTATAACAAATGAGTTAAAATTTCTTGCATTAAAATGCAAGATAATTCAATATATACATTACAGTGAGCTGCAATAAAATTTAATCAGTTTGTACATAGCAAGTTTTACTGACTGTACTATGTTGGTATATTATGTATGTAGAAATGCTTGGAAAAGTAAAACACAATAAAAACGTTCAGTGTAATCAGTCTTCAGTTGAAATAATGTCCAGAGTAGTAGCTGTATTACCATCCTAACTGTTTGTGAATAAATAAAAGAAATAATTATTACCTCCTTTAATAGCATGTCTTCAAATTAAATACATTATAAACTGGATTTTTGGTTTTTTGAACCTTAACTTTTACTTTATAAATAAAAATGAATGTTTTTGGTAATTTTAAAACAACTGTCTTCAGGTTTTAAAAAACATTTAATTGGATGTTGTACTGTACAGTTGACACACCCAAAGCTCCATAATATTATCAGATTTCATATATGGCTCTCCAAGCTATAGATAGAGTATTGTTGTCCCTATAATTGATGGTCATTTTATTTCTGTTGGCCTTGAACTTTCCAATTTTTTTAAATGTTTGAGAATGGAAGGTTTTCTTCAGTTATGCAATAGTTCTGTCTAATCTATGAGGACCTGTACATCTAACTGTCTGTGTAAGCAACTAACATTATTGTGTGTTGCACCTTTGCAATTGATATGTAATATTCCTATAGATATTGTAGTAGTGGCCTTGTTGCTGCCTCAATATGTTTTAGATTCTTCCATTTCTAAGGTCTGAAATCAATATGGAGTAGACTCCTGGAAGTTTATAACTAGACCAGGCATTCTTGTTATTTCTAAGTAGTGAGTACATCATGGAAATTTTTTGTTTGCTACAGTCAATTTATTGGCTCTTACAATTTCCTGGTATAGGAGTTTCATTGTTTTTTTTGTATCTCACTACCTTATATTCAGTGTCCTCTCTTACATTCTTTTCTTTCTGTTGCAGGTATTCTTGTATTAATATTCTGATAACTTTGGGTCAATACCCATGTTGAATTACTGTTTAGGTAATGTGCCTTAATAAGTTTCAGAGTATTAACTCTTCAACACTTATGTAAAGAAAATATTTTCTTCAACATGAATGTTGAAGTATTATGAGCAACTGATAGAATGAGGTTAGAACCAATCATGGAATGAGCCAATTCACACTGAAGAAGAATACATTTCTTCTTCAATGTGAATTGGCTCATCGTCCTCTTTGTGAATTTTGAAAAACTCTTCTTTTGTAATGTATTTTCAGATCCTAAAATGAAGAATTAGGATGGGAACTTATAAAAGTTCCCATCCTATTGGGTTGTTCACAAAGTAATTTCATTTTTTTTACCACTAGACGGATTAGTCATATTTTTCCCGTCATTTTCATTCTAAACCATATTATCATTACATATTTTGACAGCTATCATTTTAAGGCTTATTTGTAAAAAATTTTGTTTCATTTTGTGCAATTGTTTATTTTTTGTGTCCCATCAAATATGGAAGATCGAAAGCCGCATTTTCGGCATATTTTGCTCTTTTATTACCAAAAAGGTAAGAATGCTGTTCAAGCGAGAAAAAAATTGTGTGATGTGTATGGAGATGATGTATTGACAAAACGACAGTGCCAAAACTGGTTTACAAAATTTCATTCTGGCAATTTCAATATTGAAGATGCACCACATTCTAGATGGCCAGTTGAAGCCAATGAAAACAAAATAAAGGTACTGATTGAAGCCAACTGCCGAATAACAACACGTGAAATCACTAAGACATTAAATTTGTCAAATTGAACTGTTTATAATTACTTGAAACAAATTAGTTTCATTTCAAAGCTTGATATATGGCTCCACATGTTCTTAAAGAGAGATGCTCTCTAAAAAACTCCACCATACCTTTATCATACCATTGTATGATAAGAGGCTGAATAAGGAGATATATTATATAGGAGCCACTAAAAGATCATTAAATGAAAGATTGAAGGAGCACGAAAAGAATGTAAGATTTAAACAACCAATCACGGCTTTGGCTAATTATGCGATTGCAGATCCAACAGAGATCGAAATCAAATGGAGCAAGGCAAATCTCATACAAAAAGTGGAAAATAGAAGACATCTAAAGTATGCAGAAGCCTGGCACATTTACAAGTGCAAAGAAAAAGGGCAAAATATAAATTTTCGTGAATCAAACAAAATAGCATCGGCATGGAAAGTGGCGACATTAAAATTATAATAATGGGCATGCGCAATTGAGAAGATTATAGAACGTACATTTTGGAATTTCCGTTTTGCAAATTTAAATTCTGATAGTTCGATCCTGAAGAAGGTCTGTTAATCTGACCGAAAACATTCGATAAGTGTTTAAAATAGACTGCATTTTAAAAGGTATGGTGGAGTTTTTTAAATAATAATGCAGTTAGAGATATAATGAGATGCTCTCTTTAGTGGGATTTTAAGGAAATTTTTTTTTTTGGAGCTTTTACCAGACAATTTAACAATTAATTTGAAAGTGTACTGCCATCGAGTAAACAAATTGAGTAATATCATCAAACAGAAAAGGCAGCCAGAATTGATCAACAAAACAGGTGTAGTATTTTACCATGATAATGTCAAATTTCACACAAGTTTGGTAACTTGTCAGAAACTGTTACAACTTAGATGGGATGTGCTATCACACCAGCCATATTCGCCAGATCGAGCACACTCAGATTATTACTTGTTCTGATCTATACAAATTTTTTTTAACTGTAAGACATTTACTTGAAATGACAATGTCAAAAATCACTTGGATCAGTTTTTTGTAAGCAA